CTCCGCCGCCGCGATATTTTTCATTTACACCACAATCTTTACTTTCGCACAATTCGCATAAATTTTTATATTTTTTCTTAAGTATATCATCTTGCACAGAATCAACGACCCAAGGACCAGCTTTACAAGCGGATTTAAAAAAATTTGATGTTGCTTTTATCCGATCTTCGTAAACGGTGTTACCTTCGTTGCATTCTGACGGTGACACCCTTTCTTCAAAATACTGAAAATGATAACTAATAATAATAAAATATATAACGTCACTTTTTTTTTTTTTTTTTTTTTGTCACGTCAATTTTTATTACAAATACACTACTCACCTGTGAAAATATGTATGACCATTCGGGACCATTTTCCGTTCCAGGATGACAAAGTTTTTTACCCATCAAATCTTTTATTGATGTTATGTTACTATCTTTTCTAACAACCACAACGTTTTCATGATGATATGGATTTTCCTTGATTCCTCTTATCTCACCGGCAACCAGTATGGAATTTTCTTTTAACAATGTTGAAAAATATAAATCTTCCGGATGGAAAACGGAAAAATCAGATTCACGCATTGAAATTGATCTTAAACATTCCAATCTGTTGGGTTTATAAACGCATGACACGACAGTATTTTTAGATTTTTCCAGCAAATTACAATATTTTGTCGAATGTGTTATTTTTTCTTTTGGATTTCCCACAACGCATATTTTAACTGAAAAAAAATAATTATTTTCATGTGTTGAATTCATTTCTACCTTATTAACATCATTTAATATTATTATTATTATTAAAAAAAAACAATTTTAACCGTTGTTGTTGTTGTGTGTATTCTATGGAAATTATATTTGACATGATAATTATTTGTAATTAAACAATAGACTCGTTATTAATAATGATAATAATAACGGTAAAAATTATTACTTTTTTAAATAAATAACCTAACTTTTAAAGAATTTAATAATAATAATAATAATAAAATCCAACAACTTATAAAATGTGACCCCACATTGCGAGCAACATATTCATTCAAGGACAAACACGTGCACCTTTCTTGTTTTTTGTCTAACTTCTATAAACATATAAATAAATATATGTGAAAAAAAAAAAAAAAAAAAAATTAATAAATAAATTTATGTTTTTTACTTTTGTTCTTCTAGAAACATCTATAAAACCGGTAGACCCACAATCATTGTAACCTTTCAATATAAAAAATATTATATCATTGTAATAAATAATAAAAATTTTTGCAACAACAATAAAATAATTTTTTAATGAAAAATGATTAGAAAATAAATAAAATAATAATCAAATAACAAAAAAAATTTTTTGTTTTTTTTTTTTTTTTTTTATATAAAAACTTACGAGTTTCCGGTTTTCCCCCCTTAATAATAATAATTGAAAAATTAAATAAAAATAATAAAAATAATTGATACATTTTTTTTTTTAAATAAAGTTGTTGTTTTTTTTCAATATTTATCAACTTGTTGGTCGTTGTTGTTGTTGTTTGTTGTTGTTATTAATGATTTAAATTAAGTTTAAATTTTTTGAATAAAATAACTAAACCGAAGTCTCATAATGCATGATAGCAACTGATGTTTCTTTTAATACAAAAAAAAAAAAAAAAAAAAAAAAAAAACTTTACCTTAACAACAGGTTATTGGGGGGTTTAGTAAAACGCACTAACAGTTAAAAAAAAATCGGTTTCTCCCTCCCTCTCTCTCTCTCCCTTTCTAATAAAAAAAAAAATTTCCCTATTTTTTTTATGTTTTTGACCCGCTTAAATAAAAAAAGTTTTCAAATTTCGTTTAATATTATTATTATTATTATTATTAAAACAAATTTTAAATTTTTTTTTGGTGGAATACGTAAATAATAATGATAACTATAAGTTTTCACAGTTGATAATGATAAAAGGTAATGTAATTCATCATTATTATTATTATTATTAATAAAAATTATTAATTGTTTATATTATTATATTTATCCGATTAATTTATTACTTACCTGGAGAGAGAAAAGAAAAAGAAAACAATTTGTCGTTAACGGATTAGAACAAAAAAATAACGAATTCGTTGAAATTTGAAAATAAAATAAAACTTTCGGTTTTAAAATAACTGCAAACACTTAAAGTAATAAAAAAAAGAAAATGAAAGAAGAAAATAATAATAATGATAAATAAATTAAAAAATCTTACGTAAGTCTAAAAATAAAATAAAATAACGACAAGGTCGTTAATTTTTTTTTTTTTAATAAACAAAACATGTAAAGAAAAAAACCGGATGGCGGCGAGATAATATTCGCATCGTAATAAAAAAAAAAAAAGAAAAAAAATTTTTTTAAAAAAGATAAAAAGAGATTTTGTAAAAAAAAAAGCCTCCGGTGACAAAAGGTTTGTATTACGAAAGGAATTTTTTTTTTTTTTTGTGTGTTTGTGTAATGGGTTTCAAGGTCAAATTAACCGTCGTTAAACTTTTTTTTTTTTTTTTTTTTTTTTTTTTGATTTGTCGTCGAAAAAGAAAGAAATAAAAAACAAAGATGGCGGCGATTCGTTAACGAACGACTCGATTAAATTAAAAAACTTTCGAATTAATTTGTGTTTTAACGATAAATGTTTTGTTTGTTTATATTTGTAATTGTGAAAGTTTTGAATAAAATAAATTTTATTTTAAAATAAAAATAAAATTTAGGCACAAATCGGAAAATATAAAATTATAATAAATTCGCGGAGTTAATCGATAAAACATGTCGGAAATTTTATTTGTAATTCGTGTCTTATTTTAAATTTTTAAAATTGTTAAATTTAAATATTTTAAATTTAACAATTTTTTTTTATCGGGTTTTATTATAATAATTTTATTATTATTATTTTTGTTTCATACGTGTATCGTGTCGTTTTAATTTTTTTTATTGTTTTTCGCCTCATAATAAAATCATTTTACAACAAAAGTCCTAAATTTGGCAAAAAAAAAAAAAAAAAATGCAAATAAGTACAACAACATTTACGAAGGTTAAAGACTTTTTTTTTTATTATTTGTTCGCAACGAACGAATACTGATAAGAAAAATAATAATAATTATTATTTATTATCGTTTAAAAATGCCTGCAAATTTTCAACTAAAAAAATAAAAAAAAAGAAAGAAGAAAAATAAAATAAATAAATGATATAATTATTATTATCATTGAACTTGAATATTTAACTAACGCCTACGTGATAAGAAATGAGACGATGTCATCAAACGAGAATGGAATTAGAAAAAATCGAAATAACGAGTTTCGATTATATCGATTAATCGATATTTATTCTTAAATTGATTTTTAAAATAATTTTTTTTTTTTTTTCTGCCTTGTGATTATGACGTAGAGTATTATTTTTTCAATTTCGTCCTCGTACCTTTTTTAAATTTTTTTTGAAGAAAAAAATGGTAAACCTTAATAAGTAGAACGTTTTAAAAACAAAACAAAAAAACATTTTAAACAATTTCTATATTTAGTAAGTGATTCTCTGTTTTATTTAACAAAAAAAAAAAAAGACATTTATCTGTAGTTTTTACTATTATTACAAATTTAATGCGTTATACTTTCAGATTTAGCAGTTGGAAAAACAGAAAAAAGTGATCAGAATTTTAAAAAAATTATTTCGAAATGAAAATAAATTACAAATTATTACCTATGAAAGCCCATTTTTTTTTCTTCATGGCCGGTAAGTATTTATATATATATATAAAAAAAAAATTATTAATTAATAAACGGGGAAAATCCGTAAAGAGAAATTTTAACGTTGATAAAAAAAAAATGGCGGATTCCTAAATAGTTTTTTCATTATAAATTTTATAACATTTCGATTTTTAAAAATTATTATCAATGACGGGATTCGTAATGATCGATCGATCGATCAATCAATTAATATTTTTTATTGATTGAGAATTTTGTAAAGTTAAAATTATTTTTATTTTATTTTAGCATCGGGGGCCAATATTGCCATATTTAACGGTTTACGGTAAAGAATTGGGAATTTCTGAAGTTATTATGGGTAGCATAACGGCTGTTGTTCCAATAACGTTTTTATTAGCCAAACCAGTTTTTGGATTCATCGCGGATTATTTTTACGAAAAAAGAAAATTAATATTTATCATTTTGATAATAAGCATGAGCGTTTTTTATTTGGGTCTATATTTTATACCACCTGTTAACATAGAATTAGAATATAACGAATTTAAAACTAATTATTCTACAAATAAATTTTGCCAAGAGGTAGGTAAGACAAATTGATTTTTAATAATAAAAATGGCAATGTGATAAATTTATTTATTTATTTATTTAACAGAATTCGGAAAACGTTACAAATGATTATGTCATAAAAGACGTTAAATGTCAAGTAACTTGTTACGACGATTCAACTGGAAATAAATGCAACTTATTAGGCATAAATACAAACAAAACATTTTGCTATGAAAATTTAAATGTTGATAATTGTCATTGGTTCCAAGTACCTTTAAACTGTCATAAAGATTGTCTCCTTAATGTTAATAATAATAATAATAATAGTAATACTCATAATGAAAAAATATTCAAATCGTACGAATTTTACGGTTTTATTATATTAATGACAATGTCGATGATTGCTTTTAACGTCAGCAACAGCGTAACTGATGCCATTTGTTTTGACGTATTAGTTAAGTGCATTTCAGTATAAAAATAGTATAAGTGATAATGAAGAGGGAAATTTTTTCTTCACAATTTTATTTTATTTTTTTTAATTTAGGAGATGGACGAGAAAATCAATATGGCTACCAAAGAGTTTGGGGAACCATCGGTTTTGGTATTACTGCTTTTTTAGGAGGTGCCGGAATGGATATTTGGTCTGGAGAAGGTGTTAAAAATTATAAGCCGGCTTTTTTAATAGTATTAGCATTTACAATATTCGATGTTGCCTGCTGTACAAAATTAAAGGTTTAAGGTTCAAATCGATAATATTATTTATCTTATAATGAAAATAACTTATTGATGATTTTTTTTTTTTTTTAATAAATTTAATTTCAGCTTCCGAAAATGAAAATGTCAAATAATATATTAAAAGATCTTGGAAAAGCATTGCAAACGAAAGCTCTTTCAATATTTTTAATTTTTGCCGTTTTAGTAGGAATATTGGACGGTTTTATTATTTACTTCATGTTTTGGTAAATTTTTTTTTTTTTTTTTTGAAAATTTTCTAGTAATTAAAAATATTAATAAAATAACAATATTAATATTATTTATTATTTATAATAAAGGTTTTTGGAAGATTTGGCCGCGGAAAAAAATCAATTAAAACACATAAAAGTTTTAGAAGGTTTAACCGTGGCAGCAGAAACTCTAGGAGGAGAAATTATTTTTTTCGTTTTATCGGGGAAAATATTAAAAAAACTCGGCTATGGTCACACATTAACATTATGCTTTTTTAATTACGCACTCAGATTATTTTTAATATCTATGATAACAGAACCCTGGTGGATTTTGCCTGTTGAACTTTTAATGCAGGGTCCAACATACGCTCTTTGCTATACCACAATTGTAGGATATGCCAATGCTATATCACCTCCTGGATTGTCAGCAACCATGCAGGGTGTTGTAGCTGGAATGGACGATGGTTTCGGTATAAAACCATTACAGTATTTTTGTTTTTTTTTTTTTTAAATAAAAACTTTCTTTTACAAAAAAAAATTTTTTGTTCGATGAAGGATATTCTCTAGGAAGTCTCATCGGTGGATTTTTGTATAAATCCGTAGGAGGTCGAATAGCTTTTCAATTATTTTCAGGTCTTGCTTTGATCTGTTGTTTAACTCACATGATTTTGTACAAAACCATGTTAAGTAAAACATACAAAGGTAAAATTATTAATCCCATTATTATTATTATTATTTTTCCGTTAAATTAATTTAATTAACCAAATATTTACTGTTATTTTTCAGGTACTTCTACAAATAATAAACGTACACAAGAGGAAGGAATAAAATTAAATCAAGTGACGGAGGATTTAACGACAAGTCAACAATTAAAAAATACATAATTTAAAAAATAACTCATAAACGATATCGAAATTCCCTATTATATTTACGTAAAGATAATTTTGTTAAATTCAGGTGCGTCGATAATAAAATTTCCCCCTTCCCCTCCCCCCTTTCGCCCCCCCCACTCGCCAATTTTTAAAAGTTTTAATGAATCATCACAAATACGTAAGAAATCCCATTTTTAAAGTAAAAAATAAATACAATAAAAGTTATTTAAAAGTATTAAAAACAAAAATTTATTTTCATTTATGTACTAATAATACATAACTTTCACTTTCGGTAGAACAAATATTTGCAAAAATATATTTTAAAAGATAATTTTTTTTTTTTTTAAATTTTCAAGTTACGTATACGAACACACTGCCTTAAACTAACTGTCAAAAGAAAAAGAAAAAAAAAAAAGAATAATTATTCAATTTAAACTTTTTTTTTTTTTGAATTCTTTAATAATTTAACTCTTCGTATTTATAATAAAACACAGTCCGCGTACGACCGTAAGTGAAGTTTAAAAATTATTATTATTATTATTATTATCGTTTTTCACGACGAATTCAATACGACAAAATCAAATTTATAAATAAAATTTAAATTTTTTAAAAATTGTTAAGTATTAATAATATTTTTTTATTTTTTTGTTTTTATTAATAAATTGGGGAGCTACGTCATTTAAAAATATTTTGTTATTTATTTATTTATTTATTTGTTTTGCAATCGTAAATTGTTTTTAAAAAATAATCTTGACAGTTGTTATTATTATTATTATTTTTTTTTTTTTGTGAAAAAAACATTTGCCAAAAAAACATCGTCGTTATTATTATTATTATTAATATTTATTTTTTCGTTATTAAAATTAACACAAATAAGTTTTTTCTTTTTCTTATTAAAATATTTATTAGGGAAAAAAATTATTATTATTATTAATAATGAATTTAATAAATAAATAAATAAACAAAAAAAAAATATCGAGAGAAATAAAGAAAAATAATAATAATAATAATAATAATAATAATAATAATAATTAATTATCATTGTATTGATTTTAAAAAGTTATAAATTTTGCCAATTGTTTAATGCCAAGGTTTATTATTATTATTATTATTATTATTATTATTATTATTATTGTGCAATAAATGATTGACAATCAAATAATTATTAATCATTAAATATGAATTATTGAAACGATGATGTATCAAATTTATTATTTAAAAAAAAAAATAAAAAGAGGTTTTTATTATTCTTATTCTTATTATTATTATTATTATTATTATTATTATTATTATTATTATTATTATTATTATTATTATTATTATTATTTAGTTGAAAATTAAAGTTTTCCACTATTGAAATATTTAAACTGGCACAAACAAAATGACCGTTTGTTTGTCAACCGAATGACTTGGTGACCTTCTATAACTTATAAGTTACGAAAAATTTAATTAAGAGTGGTCAACATAGTACATAAACATGTTACTTTTTTTTTTTCATGTACAAAAAAAAATTCAATTATTATTATTATCAATTATCATAATCGTAATCAATGATCAATAATAATAATAATAATAATAATGATAACGAATGTCATTGTAATTTTGCCCCATTTTTTTCCTAATAAAAATTGTGTCATTTCGTCTGCTATTTTTAATAAAAACTACTTTTTTTTTTTTTAAACTATAACCGTTGCATAATAAAATGGCGTAACTAAACATGCCGCCTCAATTTTTTTTTTTTTTTTGCATTCTACTACCTCTCAAAACATTTAGTTGAAAAAATAATTTGTTCAAGCATTCAATCAAAATTATTATAATATATAAATAAAGTTAATAATCATTTGTTATTATTTTTGTTTTTTAAAAGAGGTAAAATTTAATTTAATAATAATAATAATAATAATAATAATAATAATAATAATTAATCCGTTTAAAAGTGTATAATAAAACTTTATTAAAACTTATTTTTCTTATTTTTATCAATGAATTCATTTATTTATTTTTTTTATTTAAATTAGGTCGAATTAAAAAACTAAAACTAATTAATTTTATCAATATTATCGATTGATTTCATTATAAACTTTATCATTTTTTTTAAATAAATAAAATTAATGTATATTTATTAATATTTTAGGTATACCCATATCTGAACTGTTTCGCATCATCATCATCATCATCATCATCATCATCATCGACAAAATAATGGAAATGAAAATTCTATTTATTATTTTATTGATTTCAATTAGTTATGGTCAAAGACCTTATTTAGGTTCCTGTCCCAATGTTAGATCCGCTAAAAATGTTAAAATTGATAAAGTAAGTATTATTATTATTATTATTATTATTATTATTATTATTATTATTATTATTATTAACTAAAAGTAAAATTAATTTGCAACAATCTCGAGCAAAATTTCTACCTTAAATTTATCATTGCCTTCTTATAATTATTTGTCTCCACCTCCCCTTTCCCCTCCCCCAAAAAAGTTTTTTTATAAACTTCAAACAGGGAGTACGCACATCACACACGCACACGCACACTCTCGACCTCGTTTTTTTTTAATCAGTTTTTCTTTTATCTCTATCCGTTCGTATAATAAGGACTTAACGTAGAGACCCCCGCCCCTCCCAAAAAAAATTTATAATGACCTAATATATATATATAATATTATTTAAAAAAAATATGTATATATGTATTGTCTGTAAGGTTTGACATAGTTTTTAGGTAAATGGTATGAAATCGAAAGATCTTTTTACATTTACGAAATTCCAACAAGTTGCACGACTGTCGATATCAGTAGACCGGATAACGTAACAAAAGAATTAAAAATTTCCATAAAAACATTTAACAGATGGTAAATCAATTTATTTTTTCTTTTAAATTTAAATTTAAATTTAAATTCTAAATTTGTAAATTTTAAAAAGTGAAAGATTAAAAAAAAAATAGTTTAAAATAATGATAGGACTGGAAGATCGATCGATAACATCGGTAGAGCAACTCCAAAAGGTGACGGAAGTGCCGTATTGGATTATCGCGTTAATTCGAACCTCCCGGATTTTATAGCTAGATTATTACCAGGTGTCGGGAGGTATACACTTTTGGCAACGGATCACGATAATTTTGCCGTTATATACACGTGTTCGGATTTAAGACTTTTACACGCTGGTAATTATTATTATTATTATTATTATTATTATTATTATTAGTAGTAGTAGTAGTAGTAGTAGTAAATGTAAAAAACCCGACAAATTTATAATAATTTATAATTTTTTAATATTTCAGACACGGTTTGGATTTTAGGAAGGAAACCGGAAATCCCACCGATATCAAGAGCTCAAGCTTATGACGTCATTACAAGAAACGGTTTGGGTACGGATCATTTACATAAATCAAATAGAAAAGATTGTCAAGAACTTTAAACTAATTTTAATACCTAAACTTGAAAGTACAATTTTTTTTTTTTTTTTTTTTTTTTTTTTTTTTTTTCAATCAATCAATAGTTGGTTAGAAAAATTTAAAAACAATTTAACGAATCTGCTAAAATAAATTTTTTTTTTCTTTTGTTTTTAAACCCTGGACTACTGGAAAAATAAATAAATAAATAAATAAATAATTTATGACGTAGATGGTACATAATTAAAAATATGAATACCAAATCCAATCCACACAATTTTTTTTTTTTTTCTATGAAAAGAATTTAAATGTCGAATAATATTTCAAATTTCAATGCCTCTCTCTCTCTCTCTCTCTATACATTTTCAATATAATTTTAACCGACGTGTGAAATAATAATAATAATAATAATAATAATAATAATTAATACAAATTGACTTGCAAATGTTTTTCATTTATCCCCGACTTGTTTTGGCATAAACTTTGATGGTGGCAACATTAAGGCTAAATTCATTTCGAATAAATATTTTTAAAATAATAATAATAATAATAATAATTAATTTTAAAAAAACACTTGGATCACAATTCAAGGACGGGTAAGACAAGTTAAAAAAAAAAAAAACGATTTATCGATTCTTTTCCGTCGTTTCCCCGGCGCCGACATTACGATTACCTGCGTATAAAATATAATTAATAAATTTTCACATTTAAATATAAAATGGCGGACAACGCGAACCTCACTCGACCTATTCGGATAAAACCTAAATAAATTAATTAATTAAAACCCTTTTTTATTCAATAAATTAATAATTTTTATAAAAAAAAATTATTATTTATATTTTATTTATTATAATAATTTTTTTTATAAAAATTATTAAAAATAAATTAATGAATTAATAAACAAATAAACAAATGAAAATAAAAAAAATTAAAAAACAATAATAATAATAATATGTGAATATATATTTATATATATTTTAAGAGATTTTATTCCAATAATTTTATTCCAATAATTTTTTCCATTTTTTTAAAATATAAATTTAGACGAAAAAAAAAAAAAGAAAAAAAAAAAAGTGCATAAGAAAAGCAACTACTAAAATTAACAGCAAAAAAAAATTAATAATAATAATAATAATAATAATAATAATAATAAAAATAATAATTATTTTTTCACTTGTTTAAGCGACAATTCATAGTAATAATAATAATTTAACTCGTACATATGTATATATATATATCAGATAATGATAAATAATAATAATAATAATAATAATAATAATA